GAGGAGGAGACGCGGCCGGGGACCACCCTGGGGGGATGAGAGAGGGACCCTGGGGTATGGGGGGGGGTCAAGGCCAGGGGACACCGCTGGGGACCCCCCTGGTGGGAGCCGAGGGGGCCCCGGGAGGTGGTGGGGTGTCACGGCCAAGGGACATTAGCTGGGGGGTGTCCCCTGGGGGATGAGAGGGGGACAGTGGGTTGGGGTATCAGAGCTGGAGGGTCCCAAGGAAGGGAGCAGGGGGCGACCCCCACCCCTGGCCGCGCCCCCCGGGTGCCGATGGCGTCTGGCTGCGGGGCATGGGGCAGGGTGGGGGGTCCGGGCAGGGTGGGGGGCCCGGGAAGGGCAGTGAGGGTGACCCCCCCGGCCGTGCCCCCCCAGGTGCCATGCTGATGGCCATCCGGCTGCGGGGCATGGACGCGGGGGAGACGCTGGCCCTGAGCCGGGCCATGACCACCTCGGGCCGGGCGCTGGCCTGGCCGCCCGCCTGGCACGGGCTGGTGGTGGACAAGCACTCGACGGGGGGCGTGGGGGACAAGGTCAGCCTGGCCCTGGCCCCCGCGCTGGCCGCCTGCGGCTGCAAGGTGAGGGGCACCCCGCGGAGGGGTGGGGCGGGGGGGTCCCCCAGTCCCCGCACCCACCTGTGCCCGCCCACAGGTGCCCATGATCAGCGGGCGCGGGCTGGGCCACACCGGGGGCACCCTGGACAAGCTGGAGGCCATTCCCGGCTTCCGAGTCTCCCTGAGCCCCGAGGAGGTGAGGGGGGGAGGGACCGGGGAGGGGACACGGGCACGTGGGCACACGGGCACCCCCGACCCCTGCAGGCACCGGGCGTGGGGGCTCTGGGGGGCTCCGGTGGGCTGTGGGGTGCTGATGGGGTGTGAGATGCCAACGGGGTACCCACGGGGTCCAGAGGGGGGGCGGGTGCCGCTGGGGTGTTGATGGGGTGCAGGTGCCAATGGGTTTTGGGTACCTATGGGGTGCCCATGGGGTGCCGGTGGGTTGTGCATGCCAGTGGGGTCCCAGTGGGGTACTGGTAGGGTGCCAATGGGTTGTGCATGCCAGTGGGGTCCCAGCGGGGTGCCAATGGGGTGCCAGTGGGGTGTGGGTGCCAACAGGATGTTGATTGGATGCCAGTTGGATGCTGACGGGGCCCCAGTGGGATTCCGGTGGGGCGTTGATGGGGTG